TATCGAATTCTAATTGTGGATCTCAAGTTCTAATATCAGATTTGGCTCTCTCAAGTCCTAAATCCACTATCCAATAATTTAACCTATCGATCTCTCAACCTAATAGATTAAAATATCAAATGCATTAACGATCACTATCACAGTTCCTAAACCGATTAACCTATCTTTCAATAGTCTTAATCAATTCATTCAATGAATTCTTTCCGAATCTAATTCCAACTCTCGTTGTCAATCAGAATCTAAGATCAATCAATCAACTGGCCAAGAAGATCAAAAGCAATAAACTCAATTCAATCAAACCGATGAGTATCGATAACGTAGTCTCGGAAAATAAAAACCAAACAAATCCATACAAGGTTAAATCCCTAGCTACAATGAAACGACTACTCGCAACCCATAACAACAAACGAGTTCAAATCAATAAAGAGAAACATAGAAACAGATAAAGAAGACTCGCAACGATCTCTCGATCTCTGCTCCCGGAAAACTCTGTCTTGATTCTCTCTCGAGTTCTCTAGCTTCTGTTGTGATCTCTCGATGATTTCTGAAGCCCAAGACATCCTTTATTTATTTTCTTGGCAGTTGGGCTTCTTCCTTTGCTGAAAACGGAAGTTAAGATGCAAAATAGGAAGTTTTTCCGTAATGCAACACGGCCGTATCGAATGTGATGTCGATCTAGGGGGTTGATCTAATCTTGTTTTATTTCCTAGATTCAACTACCGCAAGTGTACAGGTCAATCGTAGTATCTAGGGTCGAACACAGGGACACATGGACATTAACGATAACAATTATGGATCTTACTCGATTTTCGGTCGGGGCGATAAATTGGTTGGTGATGACGACTAAACTTAAATACGAATGAAAACAAATACAAATAGCAGTTTTAACACAATTCAATTAAAATATTGTAGGTGTCGGGATTTTTCGGGTTATGTAAGAATCGACTCTAAGGATATATCTCAACAACTTTGGTCACGGTTTATGGAATTCAAGTCCGGTTTTACAGAGATTTGCTCTCTCGAGCCTCACCTCATTTCTCGGGAGTTTAAGTCTACCGACCCCTCGGTTCCAAAACGATTCAACCATCTCTCGATGCGGAGATCATTTAACCGAATGAATAATTTCAGAATTTAAATTTCATATTTATATCCAATTTAAATTCTAAGATTAACAAATCATATGGCCAGCATAATTCATAGCATTTAAAATCTATTCATTCAATCGAAACCGTAAAATCAAAGTCTCAAGATAATTTAAACACGTGATTCATGCATAACCCTTATTATCCCAAACCTACAATTAAAAACTTACTCACGAAACATGATGGAAATGATAATAATAAAATTCAAACGAGGGTTCATTGACGGAAATAGAGCAGGGAAAGAAAAATGGCTTAGTTAATTGCAGCGTCGGATCTTCCTCTTTGCTCTCGGTCTGACTCTCTCTCTGGGTGAATTTTCTATGCTTCTCTGTCTCTCTTTTTCTCTGGAATTCTGCGTGTCTCCTCGGTTCGTTGATTGCTCCTCTTTTAAAGAGATATCGATGAGTGTGCGTCACTTTCAATGCATTTGGTCTGTCGTCCGAGTGCATTTTTATTTCGAATCCATCGGATTTGTCTCTGTCGCGTGCTTGATTTCTGGAAAAGTTGTCGGACAAGCAACAATTGGAGGCGGCTTAATTATAATCACGCGACCGTTTGTCTTTTTCCTATGATTGCCAGCACTCCTTCTAATCTATTATTATTTAATTACGTATTCATATACTTTATATATATATATATATATACACGTTATATAGACATATAACTATTTATATATACAAACATATAAATAGTATAATATATAGTAAGATATATATTATAAATATGTTATGTATTTACATATATTAATATGCACACTGGCTCGTTATTATATGTGTATATATACAATCTATATAGGTTATATTATTATGTATATATGAATAGTATTTTATATATGTATATAACACGTGTAAGCATATCTATTAATATACAGTCATACTATATCATATATATACATGTTTATATACTTAAATGCATGTACACGCACATATATCTATATTATATATATATATATATATATCTATATTAAAGTTTACATATATAAACACACACATTAATTATATGCAGTCATACTATATCATATATATACATGTTTATATACTTAAATGCATGTACACGCACATATATCTATATTATATATATATATATATATATCTATATTAAAGTTTACATATATAAACACACACATTAATTATATGCATAGATAAATATACCGCATGCATATATACATATACGTATATTTATATATATTTGTATAATATATATACTATATATATTCAACGGATAATATATATATAGATTATACACACGTATACACATGAATATATTTGCTTCCGTATTTACTCGTTTTTATCCGATTTCCTTGAGGATGCAACGTTTATATTTGAATCTCCATTCTTCCTGCAAAATATCGAAAACATCGAAATCGGTGTAAAACTATACAAAATAACATCTATAAATATTAAATCTCATGAAATATAATATATTTCTTATACACAAGTATATCAATATATACATATCATCAGAATACAACACGGTCCGTGTCAATTCTCTGTTAAAAATCTGCACTTTAGACATGGGCTGAACACGGGTGAGTTTGAATCAACACGGTCGTGTCGAATGACAACACGGTCTGTGTCAATTCTCTGAGCAAATCTTCACTTTTTTCAACACGAACACGACACGGCCGTGTTAATGCAACACGGTCCGTGTCGATTCTTCAACTCGAACATACTTGAAAGATTTGCTCATAACTTTCTGCTCCAATGTCGGATTTGCGCGAACTTGGTGTCTATGCGTAGATATTGAAACGACTTTCCAATGATGTTGAAAACGCATGATTTGGACTTGTAGAGTGAAAGTTATTGCACTTGCAAGATCTGACTTTTTAGGTTTCATGTTTTTCCCCGGAACAACTCCAAATGTTCCCGTTTCGTCTGTGATGTTCCGTAGTTTATGTTTTCCACTTCTTTTGCTCTCTTTTATGCATGAATACTTGTTTTAGCACCAAAGAAAACAACCAAACAATATCGAGATCAAATGTGCTCTAGAATGCCTATAAATATGCAAAACCGAGTAAAATACACTAGACATCCTATACCAAAATATCACCAAAATACATGTTATCATCCTCCTAAACCCAATCCAAACCTGGTTAAGAAACTCTGAAACAGGTAGAAGACGCCACAAACACGGGGTGGTGAACGTGTTTGATAAGTCAAACGAGATACTAGCGACTTAATCTCAAAGCCTGAAACCAGCACTCAAGAACAAGGAAGAATATCTCTTCTTTATTAGAAAACTCAAAAAACAACCAACTTTAATGTAAAAGAAAACAAATATTACCTTAAATAGGTCAAACAAACCCTAAAACAAAACAATAAAAACAAAAACCCTAAAAATTGTCCAAAACTACGTAGTTTTAAAATAAAACTCGTAAAAGTGACTCGGGACGAGTTACATTTAACTCGCTCCGTGTTAAGTCTCTGATGAACTGGCGCGGTCTGGATTAGAGCTGAAACGGGTTGTGTTGGATTTCTGTAAAACTAGCGCGGGCCGTATCAGATTTTTGAGCAAAACTTTCTTTCTCCCGTTTGTATCTCGGACTGATCATATTATCCCTTCCTCTTGAAAAGGATTTGCCCTCAAATCAAACCCATCACAATCAAATCTCTTTGTATACGACCAATGAAGATAGCAAAGCATCATATCCCTCTGTCTGGTCATATCACCTGGCTCCTCTCTCTCCTTTTTTTATGTGACTCTCGATTATAGCTCTTCAAATTAGAAAAGCCCTTCTTGATCCTGCTAATCTTGAGTGGTTGATTTTCCCACATGTGTTTCTCCCCTCGAATTCAAGTAACTCGCGATTTGTCTGAACCGCAAGCACTCTAAGCTCCTCGAAAGCATTCTCTCCAAAAATAAAATCCACATGCACTATACCCTGATCGATGTGAGGTATAACACACGGTATGTCTGCAACTTCGCCATTACCCAAGCCTTCAACGTCGCCCTTGGGGATTTCCTAATTTTCCTTCGTAGGTTCTGCCGTATCTGTACTCTCGGGCTCAAAATCATGCTCTCTTTGTATAAAGACCACTAGCTCTTCACTTCCATCACTGGTGACCACTATACACTCGACCGCCTCGAGCATCTCAACCACATGCATTGTCTCACTCACATCAACTGTCTCATCTACATAATGCATTCCACAAGGTGTAGGATGTACTATCGTGGCCTTTCTTGCTGCTTACCACTGTCTCTACTAAACATGTATCAATGACAGAAGAAGTTATAGATCTAGCCAAGGTAGTACCTCGCATACCGAACATGGGTGGTTCAGGTGTTGCACTCTAACTGACAACACGCATGAACTCTTTGACTCCTCTATGTAGATGGACTGTCGCGGTAAAACTCCCTTCCTCTTGAGCCATCGCTCTACTCGAATAGCGTAAAAATATACCTCCCCAAACTCGAGATAGGTGTAAGGCTCCATGTGCACTCGAATGGCCGGATCTAACCCGTTGATGAATCTGTCATCGCAATATTCCTCCACACTCCGATTCCTTTGCACCAAACTACATAGCTTCTGGCAAGCTCTATACCGCTCCTCCTTCCATCGGTGTGGCACAACAGGGTTGCCATGCTTTCGTCTCAAATCACTTCGGTTGGTGTTCCACATGTCACACTCACAAGAACCTCACACCTCTCATAAGTGTTTCCTGAAATATATATATATATTTTTCTTTTCTCTTTTTTTCATTTTTTTTATTTTTTTTTTCAAAACACAATCAACGAAACTAGAAACAAAAATCAGATCCAACGGAAATACTAAAAGAATAGGATATCAAAACAAAGACAAAAACTAATAGAACAAACCCTAATTTGAGAACCGGGCTCTGATACCAAATGATACGATCCTGGACTCGAAAGTTCTCAAATAAGGGTAAAAGGATAATCGTGGATGTTACCAAAGCTAGCCCCTTAACAACTCGTGAATCAAACCTAGGAGTAGTCTCAATCCCTGAGGTCCTCCTAAACCCAATCCAAACCTGGTTAAGAAACTCTGAAACAGGTAGAAGACGCCACAATGGTGAACGTGTTTAATAAGTCAAACGAGATACTAGCGACTTAACCAGCACTCAAGAACAGTGAAGAATCTCTCTCTTATATTAGAAAACTCAAAAAACAACCAACTTTAATGTAAAAGAAAACAAATAAGACCTTAAATAGGTCAAACAAACCCTAAAATAAAACAATAAAAACCAAAACCCTAAAAAGTGCCCAAAACTACGAGTTTTATTTAGTGACTCGAGTCGAGTTACATTTAACTCGGTCCGTGTTAAGTCTCTGATGAAAAATCTGCGTATCGTGGTGAGGTTGAGTTCCATATTGAATTCTTAATGATTCCTACACCTTAAATAAGGTAGAGTATAGCAGAATACTTTTGACATAAAGTTCGGTAGATAAGATCACCTATATAAGTGAGGAGTTATGATGGCCGCTCCTATAAGAAAAAAAAACACTTATGAATCCAAGATATGGTCCATGGCCGAAAGGACAACAACATGAGAACAAAAATGAAAGTTAGAAATATTATTGTGTGAATAGTGGTTGTTTTGGTATATGTTATAAAACTGGAGGGTTCAAGGCATCATGTCCACCAACTGGTTAATATGTCCGACAATATTTCACTAAGGAAGGTTCAAGGCAAAAAACTATCATCCTGATGCAATAATAATTCATCGGAACTCTTTGGAATAAACAGTTTTTATGCATTCATTAATTTTCATTCATGTGGAGGATTGTTAGAAAAATGTTATTAATTTCTTAAAACCAATTTGTGGTGAATGAGAAATTAATTTTAAAATGTGGTTATACAAAATAAATATAAAAATGTGGAGGAAGAACATTTGTCCCGCATTGAAAAAATGACAAGCACAAAGAAGGAAGCTTCCTTATATTTATGTTTGTCCCACATCTAAAGTTTTGGCCAAGAGGAAGGAAAGAGCTTCCTTATAAAAAGAGCTCCCCTTGAGTCAATAATATTCAAGCTCAAGGTTGACTAAAGCTAAAAATGATTGGTCCCACTTCTTCCTTTTGGGAGAAAACGAGCAAAGTTCCCCGAGCGGAACGTTTAAACTTTGGATTGAAAGTTCCACTCGGGACTATTCAATTCAGAGAAAAACGTTTCGATGTGGGATTTAAAATTTAAAGTTGTGCATCGATGTGGGACGGTTGGGCTCCGAACCAATGCGTTCTTGACGAAACGTTTCCTTTTGGAACGATTCGGAAAGAACGGCTGGTTGAAAGGGTGGAACGTCTTCCTTCACATGTTTTCGTAGCAACCCCCGAATATTATAAATAGGGTGTCCATAGGATCATTTTCAGCATCCCATTTTTTCTGAGTGTATTCTTCCTTTCAAAAAGAAATAATCTCAAATCTTTTCTCTAAAGAGTTCCGAACTTTTGTAGTTCGTTGGATTCTCTAAAGCAGGTGGTGCTTTTGTAGAATCGTAAGTCGTTGTATCTTGGAGACGATTGTCATAAACCGTAACCACTTGATAACGGGGCAATTTCGTCTTGAGGAGATTGTGTCTAACACAAGCCTCGACTTAACCCACTTCAAAAATTTTCTTTTCTTTTGGAAATTATATCTGAATTTCTGAATCCCACATCCGGGATTCAACAAGTTACATTTAACTCGGTCCGTGTTAAGTCTCTGATGAACTGGCGTGGTCTGGATTAGAGCTGAAACAGGTCGTGTTGGATTTCTGTAAAATTGGCGCAGGCCGTGTCAGATCTGGCGCAGGCCATGTTAGATTTCTGAGCAAAACTTTCTTTCTCCGTTTGTAAGTCAAGACCGCTCACATTATATATACTCTAGATATAACAATATAACTATAATATATATTTTAAACAATAAAATTTGAAAAACATACCTCAATTTTTTTATAAAACTTTTTAAAATGAGTTATGAAAAAAAAAGAGTAAGAATCTTATCTTTACATAGACATAAGTATAGTGTATTTTTAAAATAATGAATATTTTTGCCTTTATAATAATTTATATAATTATTTTTTTAATAACAAATAAAAAAGTCTAATGACAATTGAGATTTTTTTTATATACAAAAAACTGGAATTTTTGAAGAAAATGGTTTACCGAATTTTTTAAAAAAAGTAAAATAATAAAATCTTGATCGGAGATTTTTTGAATTTTTAATTCAAAAAACTTCCTATAGTCGACGCCTAAGATAACAACATTGGGAAAAATATTTCCAACATGAGTTACTCGGGATTGTGGTCGGAGGTTACAATGAGAGGATGTGATGCCGCAACATTTTATCAATTCTGATGCATAATGTCGCTGACGTCGTTGATTTAGTTGGAAGGTTCTGTAGTTTCTTTCCCGGCAAACAGAATACAAGATGGTTTGAAGAAGCATCCTTGCAATGATGGTTTGATGTCTAGACATGTCATGATTCGGATTGGTAAACCATGTAGTGCATTCCTGAAGGCTCGGGGGGAGGATGGCGTCAGATACGCGACGCAAAATGATTCCAGACCTTAGCACTATAGCTGCAACCAAAGAAACAGATGATGATGAGATCATCTGCCACGTCCACATCGTACGACCAGAGATGGTTTATCTCTTTGAGTAGGTATTTAGGCAAAACAAGAGTGAGGAATTTGTTCGCCCAATGATCAATCTTCTTGTCAATTTTGTCTATCAACAGAGAGTAGTCAGATCTAGAAAGCTTCCAAGGACTCAGAGGGGGACCAAAGTAGTGTACCGAGAGGGAGCCAAGGACTTGGGCGGCACGAGGGGTGGGGAAAGCGCCTAGAAATTTTCTTTACCATCTGCTATTAAGCATTCGCTTAGGCGAGGAGGGTTGAGGTGAGGGCTCAGCCAGCATGAGGGGTAGGGTGTCGAGGAGATGAGGGGTGGTTTGGGTTATTTTTTGGAGGAGTGGGAAAGGTGAGAGAGTCGGGGTTAGTGGCCTCTCTCTACGTAAGGGCTGTTGCTCAGGGCACCCGAACCAAAACGTCTGGGATTACATGTGACCTCGTATCCATTGGGTCGGATACCTTAACTTGAATACCATCAAGATAATATTCGGGTATTCGTGGTCTCCAAACAAGAATATTTTAAACTCCCATATCCATATTCAAATTCATCATCCAAATCAATTAAAAATAAATTTGTATAAAACAATCTATGCATAATTCATAAAAATTCATCCTAAATCTGCCCAACAATTAGTATTTATAACCGTTAAAACCAATTGGCATAATGCAATATCTAAAAGTCACTATTTTATATTGAATATACGTATCTCTTAAATGTGAGCTAAAAAAAGTAAGTTTTGTATCCATGTTCAATGAGGAATTATAAAGGGTATAAATACAATGATATTTTCGCAAATATCTTTAAATTTAAAGAGTAAAAGAGTAATTTTGTATTATCCCAGATTTTCACGGGCACTGAGAATGATCTCGTATCCGGATCTGAAATTTCAGATTTCCCAAATTATCACTTGACGGCTGAAATAATCGATATGCAGATGGTGTCGAATCGATAGCCGAAATTCAGTTTTATTGGCCAACCCTGTTTCTTCCCAGTAAGATTGGCGTGTGTGTGAGAATAAATCCTTGAAATGGATAATAATGATAATAATAATAATAGTTTGACAAAAAAAAATAATAATAATATAATATATAAACTTTTTTTTTTTTTTGTAAAATGGTTTAAACTTTTGTTCACCTTACAAAATGGTATAATTACATTATATTTTAGAATTTGTGTTTGGTGGAAGAGCATTTAAAGAGACCAAAGACTCGACCATTAATTTGGGGTGGTCCCCGAAAGCTTGGCCACAATGCATATGAAAACTATCACTAATTAATTCACTTGCATACATATACCCAACGAGTTTTGCATTGCTTTTGCATATATGCTATGTCTATTTCCGGCAACGTGAAGAATATGATAAACTAAAAGTCATGGGACAGCTTTCATATAATTTTGTAGAAGTCGCTAAGCTTACGGCTTCGTAGTTCGTCATAATTCTTATGGGTCCAACGCTGTACATGCAGAAAAAAAAAGTCTTTTTTTTTATGATGTTACATATGTTTTTGGTCAAAATATGATGTAACATGTTAGATTCAATTATTATTTCATTACATTAGTATGCATGCAAGAGTGAACAAAAACATTATTGTAGCACTTGTCCGTCCTTTATTCTATGCTCATTATTGCCACACCAACACAATATAAAGAAGACCAAGGTCTTCATTCTCCTCAAGCTCATCTCTCTCTCTCTCTCTCTCTCTCTCTCTCAACATATGGATATCTTTGAGGCTGCATGAGAATGGCATCTACGGAGACGATGCATGTGGTATGGGAGGATGTGATGGTGATGATACCGAACTTCGGAGAAGGTCCAACGAGGAGGTTGCTTAATGGATTGAACGGTTTTGCAGAGCCAAGTAGGATCTTGGCCATCATGGGCCCTTCTGGCTCCGGTAAATCTACGCTTCTTGATGCATTGGCAGGTCCAAATCTCTCTCTCTCTCTATATCTCTCTCTCTCATGAGGCTATGCGAAAGGTTCAACTTGTATTTGCTAAATCTACACACTTCTTGATGCATTGGACTCTCTCTCTCTCTCTCTCTCATATTTCCTCTTCATGCATCGGATGAGAACCCTTTTTTATATGGATCTATAAATTTGAATTTTAAATGATAATATGCACGATAGGGCGTGTACAAATAGTTACATTCATTTCTTAATTATATACGATTATGCATAACTGCTACTTCTAATTATGTACAAGGGACCTCTACTAAAAAGTTCATAGGTTTAAGTTTGAAACTTCAAAAAAAAAAAAAAAAAAAAAAAAAAATAAAAAAAAAAAAAAAAAAAAAACTGGATTTGGTGGTAACTTTGCATTAGATCTATGAAAACGCCGGCCCTAGACCCTTTTTGGGTAAATAGGTCTAAAATTTTTACATAAATTATGAAAATATTTTTTTGCCAGTAATTATACGTAGTATTTTGCATGTCTCAAAAGTATTTGGGATAAATTTTAGATATCAGTATAAATTATTTTTATATGTTTAAATTTTTGAACCAAAATTATATTTTCATTTAACGGATCCATTCCACCGTGCTCATATATATATATATATATATATATATGTGTGTGTGTGTGTGTGTATAAGTTTGTGTGGTGCTCTTCTTATACGTAATTATAATTGTACGTTCTTATCAGGACAATTAATATTTCTATTTAAAAACATTGGAAATATTTTCAACAAATCAAAATCCATAAGTCCTATATATATATATATATATATAACAGAAACTAGAATTAAAATTAAAAGTGTTGACAATGGTTGACAGAATTTCGGGGGAGTATTATGTCCAACAATATCATGACCTAAAAAAAACAATATCATGGCCTTGTTTTGAAGAATAAAAGAAGTACAGAAAAAAATAATAATAAGCATTTACTAGGGTTCCTCTGCACTGCTGTAAATTTGACCTAACCCATTTATGAGTAGGAGCCCCGAATTAAATTGGAGTCCAACCACATTCAAATATATATGTGTGTGTGTACCCTTTTGTATGATATACACATGTATAAGTACATGATGTGATGGGGATATCGTCTTCGTACGAGGATATTTGTATGCCCATGCTTTTGTATATTGTCTCTTTCTTCTTCTTTTTCCTTGAATAATTAATATCCTGGTTATGCTTTTTCCTTTCCATTTATAAATTTGATTGCTCATTCTTGTTTTATTTATTTATTTAATCGGATCAACCGGTTGCGAGCAATAACTTTAATTTTTAGTTTATTTAATTTTACAAAATTATTAAACTATTTTTATTTAGTTTGATTACGTTTTTTGCCTCTTTTTTTTTCCTATAACGGTTTCTACTAGGGGTGAACATTCGGTTCGGTTATTTTGGTTATTAGTCGAACCAAATCGAATGAAGATATTTCGGTTATTAACGGAATTGAATCGAATAACCGATTGGTATTATGATTTTTTAAAATTCGAAATAACCGAATCAAACCGATTAAAATTTAATAACCGTTTGATTATAAATTTTCAAAACCTGAAATAATCGAACCCGAACCAAACCATAATACCTCTCCATTTATATATATTTATATACATATATTTATTTCTAATTTTATCATTGTTTTATTATTTTGTAACTTATTTCATCATTGTTTTATTAATTTTAAAATTTGGATGATTTAAACATTTGAAAAGGAGAAGATTTATTTATGTAATATTTTTATTTGTTTTTGTTTTTATGTCAAAAATTGAATTTAAAATTTTATTGTTTTATATGTTAAAATAGTCATTATAATATTTTATATTATATTTTATTTTAATATTTTTTTAATATTATAAACAAATTTAATGGAACTATTGTTTGGTTCTAGTTTTAATTAGACAAAATCGATTCGAACTGAATCGAATAGAATTAACTAATCGTTTGGCTAGTTTCGATTTATTTTCGACCCACAACATTTAACAATAAAAAATATAAATATAATCTCCAAAGTCCTCTTATAATCAACCATTAAGTGTTTGTACCACTAATCAAAACTTAAATTATGCAAACCAATCACTGACTATATACACACACACGTGGGATGTATTTACAGGAAGATTAGCTGGAAACGTCGTTATGAGCGGAAAAGTTCTTGTCAATGGGAAAAAGGCAAGGCTTGACTTCGGCGCTGCTGCTGTAAGCAAAATCTATTTCTCTATCTACTTTACGCTCAAATTCTATGGATAATTGTACAGCTGTAAACCCTAGAACCTTGAAGAAGATAACCTCTGTTTCGAGAGCACGAAGAGCATCCTCCTCTGTTTCTTTTTCAGAAATAACAAAAACCCTAAACCCCAAAACTTGAAGACTCATTTTGTATTGGTGTGAAACTTCAGGCTTATGTAACACAAGAAGATGTCTTGCTAGGAACTCTAACAGTGAGAGAAACCCTAGCTTACTCTGCCCATCTCAGGCTCCCATCGACACTCACCAACCGAGAAATCTATGGCGTTGTCGAAGCAAAAATCACAGAGATGGGTCTGGAGGATTGCTCCGATCATGTCATCGGGAACTGGCACTTGCGTGGAATAAGCGGCGGAGAGAGGAAACGCCTCAGCATCGCCCTCGAGATCCTCACGGAGCCCAGTCTCCTCTTTCTAGACGAACCCACAAGTGGACTGGACAGCGCCTCCGCTTTCTTCGTGGTTCAGATTCTCAGGAACATCGCCGGCAATGGAAGAACCGTGATTTCCTCCATCCATCAGCCGAGCAGCGAGGTTTTTGCCGCCTTTGATGATCTGCTCCTCTTGTCTCGGGGAGAGACCGTTTACTTTGGGGAAGCGAAATCTGCCTCTAAGGTAGTAATAGTCTACAGAAGCCACAAGATCATACCAGAGTTAATGGATTTCACAATCGTAATGGCTTTCCATTTGTGCTGTTTCGGCCTTTCAGTTCTTTGGCGAAGCGGGTTTCCCATGCCCAAGCAGAAGAAACCCATCTGACCACTTCCTCCGGTGCGTGAATTCTGACTTTGACGATGTCACAGCAACTTTGGCTGAATCTCGCAGGATGCATGTGAGTAGTCTTCTGCAGCATTCTTGTGAAACTCGAAACCCGTTAGAACCACTCGAGGATCTACCGACATCAGAAATCAGGGCAACACTTGTCAGAAAATTCAGATGTTCAGAATATGCAGCGGCTGCAAGAGCAAAAATGCAAGAGGTTTTATCAATTGTAAGCCTTTCCCATCCCCAATACCTTTCTATTGCAGTTATTACATAGAAACCAAGGCATACCACAATCATCTGCACTTAAATCTTGTGTAGCAGAAAGGGCTTGTTACTGAAAGGAAACGAGGGTGCCAAGCAAAATGGTGGAAACAACTCAGGACACTTACTCACCGGTCTTTCATAAACATGTCTAGAGATTTGGGGTACTACTGGATACGGATTGTTGTCTATATAGTACTGTCTGTTTCTGTTGGTTCGGTTTTTTTCAATGTCGGAAAAAGCCACAAGGATGTCTTTGCTCGTGGAGCTTGTGGCGCGTTCATGGCGGGTTTCATGACATTCATGTCAATAGGAGGTTTCCAATCTTTCATCGAAGAAATGAAGGTAACAAACTAAATCTAGCATCACTTTCTATTGCCTTCTATATATCTATCTAATGTATGACAATCCTAAAACCAGGTATTTTCTCGAGAAAGGCTCAACGGGCATTACGGGGTTGCGGTGTACACACTGTCCAATTTCTTATCCTCGTTGCCCTATATATTCCTAATGTGTGTTTCTACCACCTCCATCACATACTACATGGTGAAATTCCAATCTGGGATTTCTCATTTCGCTTTCTTGTGTCTCGACCTCATCGGTGGAATAGCTGTTGTGGAGAGTTGCATGATGATGATAGCTTCAGTGGTTCCTAGCTTCTTAATGGGAGTGATGGTCGGAGCTGGGTACATAGTAAGAACATTCTTTTTCCCCTAAAAGCTTTTTAAAATATTTCTCTAACACCAAAAAAGAAAAAAAAACGAAAGCTCACTAAAATTCTATATGCCATAGGGTGTTATGCTGATAAGCTCGGGTTTTTTCCGACCATTCCCGGACTTACCAAAGGTGTTCTGGCGCTACCCAGTGTCCTATGTAAACTATGGGGCATGGGCTCTACAGGTATCGATGCCAAAAACCTCACTCTAAGGTGCAAAATATATTGCCAATTCTTACTTGGGCATATGTGAAAAATGAAGGGAGCATTCAAGAATGACATGATAGGGATGGAATTTGATTCTCCATTACCATTGGGGCCGAAAATGAAAGGGGAGCACATCTTAAAAACCAGACTGGGGATTAACCCCGAGCGTTCAAAGTGGTTGGACTTGGCAGCCGTAGCGATGATCCTACTCGTGTATAGGCTTCTCTTCTTTGCCATACTCAAGTTCAAGGAAAAGGTTTTCCCGTTGGTTCACACTCTGTACACGAGGAAGACCCTGACCCACATCCGGAAAAGGCCCTCTTTCAGAAAAATGGCACCCTTCCCTTCCAAGAGGCATCAGGTTCCCCATGCCCTTTCTTCTCAAGAAGGACTTAACTCTCCACTACGATAGATTTGTTGATGAAGTTAATGCAGGAAAAAACAAAGCTGACCAAGTTGAGACAGGTACGGATGAAGACAAGAAGTTGAAGAAGAAGTTATGTTGCAGTTATATTTGTAACGGTTGGGTTGGTTATTATTGTTGTCCCATAAATACAAGTATTGAGTAGAAGGGGGCATTTTAAAAAATGACTTTAATTGTCATTTGTTTCAATGGTGACCTTATAATTTTGATAATTCTAATTTTGTCATTCAATATAATAATTATATTTTATTATTATTTTATTCATAGGATTTTAATTCATTTTCGAAAAAACTTAATATCTCTTTTATTTTTTTAACGTTTTTTCCAAAAAAAGAAGCTATGATCTTTCATAATTATCTTTTGATAACCGTTTTATGAAGTATTCAACTTTTATTTCTTTTATTGTAATCAATTTATTTAATTATGTAATTATATTATTAATTTGTTCTTTTTCTATCATATATTATATACCTCTTACACTACTTTCTGTTTCTAAATATTGTATTCGTGTGTTTAATAATTCAATATTTTTCTTATATATTTTTTCCATTCTATTCGTTAGGATTTTCTATGATATCTCTTTTAATTTCTCTTACTGCATAAAATATTGAGCTAATCATTTTTATTCTTCGATTTTCTTCATTAAGTTCATGTCGTTCAATTGTTCCATAAGTTCGTCCTCTAAATATACTTTCTATTATCTCAACTAATAATTGTTCAAGATGGTTTTCTTTCAAGATTTAATAGGGATAGTTTTTCGATAAAATCTTCGTTGAAATTCATTTTGTAAAGTTGTTGATTTGTGATATTGTTTTTCGTAATTTAGAGTAGTCTTCCTGGTTTTCTTCTGATTGCTTAGTGTTAACTAATAAAGATGGTGATTCTTGTATACTTAATCTTGGGTTAAGTCGTAACAATGATTTCCATCCTGGTTCTATTGTCGTTAATGTTCTTTTTAGATAAATTACTGGTTTAAATAAAACATCTATTTCTATAATATCTTTGTTTCTAAAATTTAAACTGTGATGACTATTTATTAATGCGTAGTTAATCTGATAGGTTATAGAAAAAAGGTGATTTCCTTTTTTCTTCGGCTATAATACTTTCTTTATAATCGGTTAATCTGTCATCTCTAATTTGAAAGGTAATCGGGGAATCGATACCTTCCTTGAATGTTGATTTTATAATTATTTGAATAGTACTACAATATATGTAAGTTATTTGCTTTCTTTGTTTTTCGGGACAATTTTTTAGTCTTTCTAAGATTTGTTCTTTGTTAATAATTGGTAGAATGAGTTCTCCTGTAGTTTGTTCAATTGGTACTGTGTTTCTCCTACCATGATTCCGAACTTTATTATGTTTTTTCTTGGAAAAAAATCCAAAAAAAAACACTGAACTTTACAATTTTGACCAAAAAAATACTGAATTTTTTATTTTATCAAATAAACATTAAACTTTTTAAGTTTGACAAAATAAACACTTAATTTTTCTACGGTTGTCAAAATAAACAAAATGAATGACGTGGCCCAATGAGATGCAAACACGTCAGATTATTTTACTTAGTTTTTTTTTACAATCGAAAAAAGTTCATGTATTTTTTTGGATCACTAAAAAAGTTCAGTGTTTTTTTTATAATCGCAGAAAAGTTTATGTATTTTTTGGATCATTTAAAAAGTTCAGTATTTTTTTAGATTCGTTTAAAAAGCTTAATGTTTATTTGACAAAAAATAAAATTCAGTGTTTTTTTGGTCAAAATTATAAAGTTCAGTGTTTTTTTTGGGATTTTTTCTTTTTCTTGATAATTGTTTCTTTATTTTTTTCTAGTATAGTTTGTTCGAAGTTTTCATCTTTTGAAGATCAAAGTTTATTTTTCGTATTTTGTTTATGTCTATAATTCCATCAAAGAAATATTCTTCGTCTGATTGTATAAAATTATCAAATGCAGAAGTTGATGCCATACCTGATTCGCTTTTGTAGATAATAATCCCTGTCGATTGGTGTTGGTGATGATCGTTTCCTCGCTGGTGATCCGGAGATCTGATCGGCTTTTTGATCTTGATTAGTGATAGTGTTTAGTTCCAGAATTCTGGAATAATTGCTTTGTGATTCAAAAGAATCTATTCAAGGCCTCCAGAAGATAGAAATCTTCAAGCCAATCTCTTAAGAGAGATTTTCCAGAGAGAGTTCTGAAACAAGTAAGTTTATTTCACTCTGAGTTCTCCAAACGGAGAGAGCTCATACTTATACAACTTTGGAACCTTATTGGTTAAGATAAGAATCTCAAACCGGGGCCAACTAAAACACTTGACACCACATAATTGCATAATATAGATTACAGATATAAGGTTTCTGATAACCTTATCTTTTATTGGGTCCGACATATTACATCAACTAGTCATATGGCTTTTTCTTCACATGTCTTTAGACTTTCGGATGGTGGTTGGCTGCTCTTTTTCATTTTGTCCTTTAGTTCTTTGCAGATAGTGCATTTGTGGTCGCCATACCTCATCAGAAAGCTGCAGAGCTGTTCCTTGATAGATTCCTCTAGTCCTGCGAATTTTCCTTCTAAATGATAGAAGTCTAATTCGAAATCTGTTACTATTTGCATTTCTTCCTTTGAGATAGTTTTCTTGTTGTAGGTGATCATCAATACATTACTGCTGGCATAATTGACTTTGATCTCTGAATCCGCAAGGATCTTTCTTGATGCCTTGAAAACTTCAAGTAATGAATGAGCTTCCAAATCATCTGAAATCTCACAATCTGACGCATCATCTCTTGGAGGCAGTTCTCCCTTTGCTACTCCAAGGTGTATCATCGCTTGTGACTGTATAATCTTATCCTTTCTGAAGATCGGGATTGAACTCTTAATCTTCATGAAAATAGTTCTTTCCTTTGCGAATCGTTCAAAGTAATTTCTGATAATTGGTTTCATCTTTCGTGGAAATTCTTCGAATATTCTCATCGAGTCAATGTAGATACTGTCGACTAGTCCATGTTGAAGATAATCAAAGGCTAGTAATGGATTGGCTTCTCCAATGAAGATAGCCTTTGGTCCGATTCTGGTCATTTTTGGGTAAAAGTCCATGGTAGTGTGTTTTTCTTTGTAGTCTACTAGGGATGCCCAGTAGGACTGATATTTCTCGAGGGTGACCTTTTTTAGGGCCTCTTTTTCTTGTGTGGTTGGTATTTGGGCTATTTTGGGTATTCTCATTTAGGGTAGTTGTGTCTTCGGTTCAACTGATTGTTTTTAGGCCATGGTTTTGTATGATTCGTTCAAGGCTTTTTGGGTTTCTTTTTTTGGTTCGGAAGATCTGGTGTGAAACCTTCTTTCCATTGGTATGCTGAGAGAATATTGCATAGTCCGCGTATATCCCTCTGAATGGTCTACTAAAGATAGCATACCATTTGTTTGGTTTTTCTTCTACCTTGATGGCGGTAGGAAGTGTTACCTTATCTGGTCCTGCTTGTTCTTGTTTTTTATCTTCTTCTACCGGTGTTCCACCAGTTGCTTTTATATTGATGTTCAGGGATTTAATTAGCTCCTCCCTCTCCTCAAAGAGTTTTGAGAGATTTTTCTGAATCATTTTGATCTGGTTGTCTTTTTGATTGATCTGATTTTGGATTGTCTTGATTATTCCTTCCATTCTCTTGTTGGAGTATCTGCAAAAAAATTATTTGCGGACTTAATATATTTAATATATGGTTCAAATTGATGTAATTCTAATTGTCATCGAATTAATCGTCCTTTTCGGAATTCTGGTTGAATTTTATATCTCCAGAATCCTATTACGTATTGTGAATCAGTTCTTAATTCGAATCGTGTTTGTAATAAATCAATTTTCCATTTCTTTAGAGTTCGAAGACAAGCAAGTGTTTCGAGCTCTTGAATTGGATAGTTCATCTCAGTTTTTGAAAATGTTCCTGAAATATATTTACATAGTATTGTATTCTGTTTTTCAGTTTTTGGTACTTCATTGTTATTGGTACGATCGTATTGGTCAAGATGGAGTAATTCTTTTCCATCTTTTATTGCTAACATGCATCCTGCCCAAACTTGTTTGGATGCATCTATTTCAATAATCAGAAAGTCTTTGGTCGTTGGATTGTATAACTTTGGTAATATCTTTATATTTTCATTTATATGTTTTACTAAATTTGTATCTTGATTAGTCCAAGACCATGATACTTTGTCTGATATTTTCTTTTGTAATTGTTTTCGTTCCTTTGCTAGGGATTTGAGAAATCCTTGTTTAGAAACATAATTAAGACACCCAAGGAATCTTTGTATTTGTTTTCTATCTGTTAATTCGTTTGGAAATTGTTGTATTTTTTCATGTACATTATCTGTTAGTTCGATTTCTCCGTTATTATTTATTTTTAATCCAAGATACTTAATTTTTTGCTGTACCAGTTTTGATTTCTTTTTAAAATAATTAATCCTTTTTCTTTGTATCGTTCTAGAACAGTGATTAATTTTTCAGTGTGTTCTGATTGTGATCCGTTTGTAAATATTATGATATCATCAATGTATGCTAGGCAATACTCTTCTAATTCACGGAGATTTCTATCCATGAATTGTTGATATATTGCTGGTGCTTGTTTTAATCCAAATGGAAGAACATTCCATTCATAATGTTTTTGTGGGGGGCATGAAAATGCCGTTAATGGTTTTGTTTCTTCTGACAATCGAAGTTGTCAATATCCTGATTTAGCATCTAAACTGCTAAACCAGTTTTTTCCTTTTAGTCTTCCGAGAATATAATCCTTTCTTGGTAATTTATAACTATTTCCAATAGTTGTTTCATTTTGTTTTTTATAGTTTATCACCATTCTCTTTTTTCCTCGTTTTATCTCATTATTATTTTCTACGTAGAAAGCTGGAGCCAAGTGTGGACTCGTACTGTAATACCCCGAAACTCGATTCGAATATTTAATTATTTTCGGGAATAAATAATTAAATAGAAACATCGCGTTATCATCAAAACGGGAGTATACAATAACGGAAAAAAGGAACGAGAAAACACCACGTACGAAGAGACGGGAAAAAGACGGAGAAATGTTGAAAATTTGCCTAGACCGAC